TTTTTTTTTTTTTCTTTTTTTAAGAGAAGTCTCATTTAACACACATACTTTTACAGCACTGAAGCCTGTACCCTGCACTGAACTCCTTCCCTGCCACAAAAAATAAAGTTGTATGGGGCTAACTTAGTATTTTCAGAAGGTAACAATATTCTATGTAGTTTGCATTATAGCACACTTTGGAAAACAACATTGGATGGCAGGGTCCAATGCCATCCAACATATTTTAGAATCATATATAATTACCAGCTAGTATTAACTGATAAGCTTACCTTTCAGGTGTTTATTTTCAGTCCCTAACTCTTTTTAAATTATGTATAACTCAGAAGACCACTCAGGTAAAGGCCAGTAATGATTTGGGGAGTTTCAATGATATAAGATAAATTCCTGTTCTTAAAGTAAGTGTTTGTGTGTCTTTGGGTAAGGTACCAAAACTTTAACATGTTATCTGATTATAAAAGCAGTGTATTCTCATTCACATTTCCTCAGAAGTTGATAAAATATTAACAAAAACAACCCCTGTATCTGATGAATCTCAGGGATATGAGAGAAACACTGAGAAGGTTTGTTTGTTCCTGGTCCTGTGTGTCCCAGACTTATATATATCTTCAGAAAGTTCCATAATACCCAAAGTGAAAGCTGTTCTAGAGGTTTCTTTAAGTTTTCCACCTGAGTTAAAATGAGGCCTTATCTAATAGTTAAACTCTTTTATTACTTTTATTACTAGGATTTCTCTCTCTCCCTCTCTCTCTCTCTCCCTCTCTCTCTCTCTCCCCCTGTGTGCACCCCATGTTGTAGTGTATTTTTCCTCAATATTCCTAAGCATCTTTCTGCTTAAATAAAAATTTTCCAAAACACTGTAAACACTAAGTGCCTAACTCATCCTACACATATTTCTCATTTAACCATTCCCAAAAGTCAGGCAGGGAATGATTCTATTTAGTATTCCTGTAAAAACAAATGGCTACTCTTCCAGTAAGATGGTGGAATAGACAGACAAGCTACACAGACCCTCTTCAACAAAGAAAAGAGAAACCAATTGACAGAAACACAGAAGATAACCCTAGAGCCCTGAGCTTTGAAAGGAAGTATACAGAAGTAGATTAGGCACCAACTAGTGGAAAAACCTGAATGAAAACAGGACCTAAGAATAGGCTCTGTTTGCCAAGGATGGCAGGGACATATGGGAGGCTGACAATGAGAAAGGAGACAGGTGATGAGTGTGTAAGTGCCACCAACTAGCGCATAGAGGAGCACAGCACAGTGCCTTGCTTACA